GTCTGGGCCGGCGGTCCCGGCCCACTTAGGCAGATAGAAACGCAAGCCTCGCTAGGCTAGCTCGTGATTACCTGCCTGGCGATGGGCATCGGAGATCTGGCAGTCATGGGCATACTTGTTCTGGTTCAGAGTCAAGTTCCTGAGCTGTCCAGCCCAATGGCCGAGTTTTCCAACGCCCCAGCCAGAAGTTCAAAACTTGCAAACTGAGGCCCCTAAACTTTAAAACCTATGCCTCTAGACTCTAGACTGTCAAGGCTCTTGAGCGCCCAGAAGGCGGTCTTGAACTGCGGGAAGGTGTTGACGGCAGCCTGCAACAGCGAGCTGCAGAGTCTCAAAATACCAGGACCAGTCTTTGAAGCTGGAAGTTTTGGGGTTTAGGGTTTAGGGTTTTGGGGCTCAGTGCCTACGGGTTTTTAGGACTTTGGGCCCAGGAAACAGGGATCACTCGTCTCTGCGAGCCTTGAAGGTGTCGTGCTCGTCGACAAGAATGGGAACACATTGCCCCAGAGTTTCCAGGGTGGCATTCCACACCTCAGGGTTTAGGGTTTAGGGGTTATAGGGGTGAGGGTTTAGGGTTCCACACCTCAGGGCTTCAAAGACTTAGGCTGACGGCTTCGGGAGTTTAGGCTCAGGGGGGTTTGAAACTTGTTGAAACTTCCTCCACCAGCTGCTTCTCTAGCGATGTCCCTCTCTACTCACTCTCTTCTATCTTTTGCTTCATGTCTTGCAGCTTCCCTGCGATCAATTAGTTTAGGGTTTCTCAGCACTCCCCGGGTCCCTGCACCTGCATTCGCGTCAAGCGGTCCTTGTCACCAACCTTGGAGATGAGGCCGCACTGACCCAGCCTGAAAAGTCGCTACAGGACACTTCAAGGAAGGCTTTCCTGGGTGGTGGTCGTTTTGGTAATAGTTAGCAGTAGTGATAGGCGTAGTCGTAGTCGTATAAGTAATAGTACTGGCGCTGGTTGCAGTGGCAGTACGAGTGGTAGTGGTAGCAGAAGGATGAGGAGGAGACGAAGTGGGAGCAGCAGCAGTAGTAGTCGTTGTCGTACTGGTACAGCCACTGGCACTGGTACTGGTGCTAGCACTAGTACCGAAGCAGTACCAGCACTGGTCCTGGTCCTTGTCCTAGTCTTGGTCCTGGTCTAAGTCCTAGTCCTGCTAGTCCTCCTCCTCCTCCTAGAAGAAGAAGTAGCAGTAGTAGTAGTAGTAGTAGTAGTAGCAGCAGTAACAAGTGCAGGACGAGGAGGACGAGGAGGAGTCGGAGGAGGAGTCGGAATACTCGCGGTGGTGGTTATCGTAGCCGTGGTAGTGTGGACGGTAAGTTATATCATGCTAAGATCATGACTTTGATCCTGCGGTGTTGATCCTGACGGTGGAGGCCCTGGTCTGCTATCGTAGACGATGTTTGATGACACTATGAGTTCTACTGCCATGATCTGTCTTCATCGATGTCGGATCCGTGCGAATGATAGTGAAATTGGTAAGAGCAATCATTATGATGATGTCAGGAAGACTGCTGTAGGAATTCTCATCTTTATGGCCATCGTGATTACAAGAGTCCTAGCACCGGTCTCTCGTGGCCCTAAGCTCTAAAACCCTAAACCCCAAACCCGAA